AGTCCGAAGTTAAAAATGGTTAAACCCTTCAAAAATCGCGAAGAAAAAACATATATACCTTCTGCCCAGACATAACCGCATATGCGGTCAAATAGCCGCTTCTGCAGTACCGCTTCTGCGGTCATATCTCCGCATCTGCGGAATTTCACTTAATGGACAAACACCGCATCTACGGTCCACTAGCCGCTTCTGCGGCTCCGCAGGTGCGGTCCCCCTTCCGCATCTGCAGTTCCAGGCCTTCCTCAGCCTTTCCGCTTTTGCGATCCAATCAACGCATCTGCGATACCGCACATGCGGTCCCTAAACCGCAGGTGTGAAAACACCAGAAGCAGCAGAAAAATCTGCAATCCCTCAAGTTCCAAACTTNAACAACAACTCTCGTAATTCCATTCCGACCCTCTGATCAAATCTCGCCAACCAACCGGAAATCGCCAAAATACTAACTTCGCATATTCAAGCCTAATTCTACTCCGGACTTCCAAAACCAATTCCGATCACACTCCTAAGTCATAAATCACCTCCCGAAGCTAACCAAACCATCGAAACTCATATCCGAGCCCTCTAACACATAAATCAACATCTGGTTGACTTTTCCAACNTTTCACATCGAATTCAAGCCTAAGTTTTCTAAAAACTTCCGAAATACATTTTCGATCAAAAACCCAACCAAACCATGTCCGAATGACCTGAAATTTTGCACACACATCCCAAATGACATAACGAAGCTACAACAACTCTCGTAATTCCATTCCGACCCTCTGATCAAATCTCGCCAACCAACCGGAAATCGCCAAAATACTAACTTCGCATATTCAAGCCTAATTCTACTCCGGACTTCCAAAACCAATTCCGATCACACTCCTAAGTCATAAATCACCTCCCGAAGCTAACCAAACCATCGAAACTCATATCCGAGCCCTCTAACACATAAATCAACATCTGGTTGACTTTTCCAACTTAAACCTTCTTAAAAGAGACTAAGTGTCTCATTTCTTACCAAATCCACTCCGAACGCAAACTACTCAATGTGATCACATAAAACACGGATAACGAAGCATAATGAAGCAGAAATGGGGAAAACGGAGCGGTAACTCATGAGATGATTGGCCGGGTCGTCACAAAAATCAAAGCTTGGACAGTTCTGCACACATAGCAAATGCGACAATATATGTCGCAAATGCGAAACCTGGCCTTTTGCAAAAGTGGCCAGTTGGTCGCAAAAGCGACCTCCCCACAACCCAGGCCGCCATCGCATTTGCGAGGCTGGCTTCGCAAATGCAAAGCCTGCCAGTCCCCAACTTCTTCGCAAATGCGGCGACTTGTTCACAAAAGTGATAGTCGCAAATGCGGCCCTTTCCTCGCAAATGCGAGATCAGAAATACCAGCAAATCTGAACCTTCTACGAAACTCTATAGAACACGTCCGAAACTCACCGAGCCCTCGGGGCTCCACACCAAACATCGACACAAGTCTAAAAACATCATACAAACTTGTTTGCACTATTATAATACAAAAATAATATCTAGAAACACGGGTCAAACATAAAAAATGCATGAAATTTACATTGAAAACTTAAGAACTTCTAAAAACACAACCACGCGTTTGATTCCTATCAAATCAACTCAGAATAAATTCAAACTTTTCAGACAAGTTCTAAATAATATAACGGACCTTTTCCAAGTCCCCAAATTGAAATTCGAACCCGATAGCCATAAAGTCAAACCATAGTCAAACCTAAGAAATTTCTAAACCTTCAAATTGCCAACTTTCGGCAAAACATAATCAACCTAGGGACTTCCGAATTTAATTCTGGGCATATGCCCAAGTACAAAATCACTATACGAACCTATCGGAGCCATCGAAGCACCATTCCAGAATCATATTTACAAAAGTCAAACCTTGGTCAACATTTCCAACTTAAGCTTCTAAAATGAGGATCACTCATCCAAATCTATCTCTTAACATCCGAAAATAGAATCTGACCATACACGCAAGTTATAATACACAATATGAAGCCACTCAAAACCTCGAACCACTGAATGGAATGCTAAAGCTCAAAACGACCAGTAGGGTTATTACATCCTCCCCCTCTTAAACACACATTCGTCCTCGAATATGCCAAGAGTCTTTCCCAAGCCATCAAATCACCGTATAAACTCTTCATACTCATACACGCGGGTGATCCTTTGTCAACCCAATCCACATAAGCCTGACAACATCATCTCAATCGAAGATTATTCCTTCCAAGCATGTTGATAAGCCTTAGAATCGAATCTCAACATCCACCAAGGGCCCTATTCTCACATAAACACACTGTAAAATCCTCAACTAGTTGTAATGACTCATGCATACATCCATAATATATAACCACACGACATAACACACCACCCATATGGCCATAGCAATAACTCCGACCACAATACCTGTCCATTACCAAACCCGTAAAATATTCTAATATCAACTAGAAACTTGTTCCAAACCTTTCCAACACTGACAATGATGCGAGAAACATGTGAAGCTCATAACTACTCACCCGACCAACAAGCCACATCAAACGCAATTCAATCCCAAAAAGCACAACCCGAATATGACTGAACATGAAAGAAGAAACATATAAGAGAACTATCAAACAAGTCCAACAGGTATCACTCCCCATCGATATCATACTACGGATCCAATCCACAAGGAAGAAACAAGACACACACAACAACTGTAACAAATCTTACCCTAACATAACCTCACGACGGCACATAGCCCAGTACAAACACACCTATCCACAAAGAACACCAAATCCCCATCCTCAACTCGGAATCACAAGTAAGATAAATATCTCAACAACTAAAACACTTTACTAACTCAATCCCGTGGAACCAAAACCACAACACGTAATAGACTTCCCATACCTGTAGAGCACCCAAATCACAAGTCGTGGTCAGACCACCTAGAAATCACATCAAAACCTATTGTATTCACTAGCAGGAAGTCCACCCCAAGCCTCGTGACCCTCAATAGCGACCAAACCAAAACTATAGACACGGGTTATCATAATAGAATTCCTCAACTAGCGTGAACATATAAGCAGAGTACAAGAATCACTAAACACAACCATACATGAAGCAAGGTAGGAGGAATCTTACTAAGAAATGGGGTCGGATCGAAATAACACTAAGGCATCTTTATAACCAACCGTAACCATACATGTAATGACATCATATGGTGTAGCAGCCTCAATCCAACCAGGAAAAGCATAACAATGGGCCTGGCCTGCCCCTCTAGGATGACCTCTACCCGTATGATCTCCACCCCTAGTTGGCAGTGCATGTATAGCAGCAACCACAGCGGAACCCATAGACTGAATACTCTGCTATTGTACACTCGCCCGAAGTCTGGGATAAGCACTCATCATGTGCCTAGTATCCCCACACTCAAAGTAACCTTTACGCTGATGTGGCTGTGGAAGCTGCCCTAAACGGGTACTCTGGGACCCATGGATATCTGAAGCACCACGTGAAACCTGAAGTACAAACTGAATTGGCTGACCCACAAAACCTCTACCATGATGCACCCTACCTCCTAAATAAGAATCAGTAGATCCTCCCAGTCTACGAGGCCTCTTGTCCTCCCTGTCCTCCCTCTCCTGGCCCCGCACACCCTCTATCCTTCGAGCGATCTCCTACAACCTGCTGAAATATGGTATCTGTCTCCATCTCTCAAGCCATGCTAAATCTAATACCATAACTGAGCCCTACGATAAACCTACAGACTTGCTATCTGACTGTAGAAACCAAGGTAGGTGCATGTTGGGATAGCTTGCTGAATATGATGGCGACTCCGACACTTTATAGCTCCCTATTGTAGCTGCTCGAACTATGTGCCCCACGCATCCCGAAGGGTTTGAGAAACAAACTCTCTGAAGAACATCTCTGAAAATTGAGCCTAAGTAAGTGGGACTGCATCAACTGGCCTACCCTTATCGTAAGCCTGCCACCATCGATACATTGCTTCTAATAGTTGAAATGTAGTAAAAGTAATTCCGCTCACCTCTACAATGCCCATGGTGTAGAGAATACGGTGGCACTTATCTAGAAAACCTTGCGCATCCTCAGTAGAAGCGCCACTGAAAGTAGGAGGGTCATACTTCTTGAACCTCTAAAGCATCTTCTACTCCTCCTCCAATGCCTCTGGCCTGACCTTAGGCTAAACCATGATAACAGGTTATACTTCTATAACACTCAAAGTCTGACCAACATGAGTCCGCTGCTCTGTAGTATGGGCGGCCGGAGTCTGAGCTCCTCCCCTAGTCTGTGAAGTAGCTGGTGTAGCCGGAATCAATCATGCCTAAGCCAATGTACCAAACATACTCAGGAACTACGCGAAAGTCTCCTGAAGTCCAGGGGTAGCATTAGGCACCTCTGGTGCCCGTCCCCCGACCGGAGCTAGTGGTGGCTCCTCAGCTACTGCTCTAGCAGGTGCTCTAGTTTTAGCATGTGCTCCTCCTTGGCCTCTGCCCCGGCTTCTAACAACACCGGTTTTGAAGGCAGCATAATCGGTAACTACAGCTCGTGTCATTACCATCTATGAGAGAATAAGAATGAAAGAAGTGAAGTTTCCTAATAGTTCCATACACTACCAGAAATTGGAGCTATGGCAATGCTTTTTATTGCTACGGATCAGTAACCGTTGCTATAGATGGCATATTGTTACGGTTTTAACCATTACAAAAAATTATTGGAACTATCGGGACACTTAGCAACCAAACCGTTGCAATAGTCTTAAAACTGTTCCAATAGAGGTATCTATGGCAACGTTTTGTATAACAGTAGCAATAAATCTATCTATGGTAACAGTTATATCTATTGTTACGGTCATTAATTCCCTCCTTATTTTTCACCCAAATTTTTTATACCCACTAAAATTAAAGGGGCCCACAATCTGATTTTCATTTTTTAGTTTTTAGCTTTTATATCTAATAAACCCCTAATTTTAGTTTTCATATCGGATATAACGAGATACAGAGGCGATTTCAGACTCGATCTTGTCCAGGAAATTGCGGACTCGATCCAAGCTCATCCATCAACAGTTTCTTCAAATCTAAAAATTGTTAATTGGAAGGCTTAATTTCGGACTCCAGGCTCAACAACAGAGCGGCGTGCTAATTAATCCTTTAGAGTTTCTCCAAATCTAAAAATCGGTAAACAGCTCTCTTCTTTCGAGTTTTGATTTCTAATTTCTTGTTCTTTGTTGCAATTAAGTATGCATAATGGCCATCACAAATCTAGTTTGATATCTTAACTCGTGTGGGTGTTGAAGGCTTAATTTTTAGCAGCTTTTTTAATTTGTTTTGTTTAAATTTCTGGGTTGTTTTTTGTGTTTTTGTTTAAATTTCTGGGTTGGTTGCTCGTGGGTTGGTTTTTTGTGTTTTTGTTTAAATTTCGGTGTTTTTGTAAGCTTCCTTCACATTATTTTGATAGTGAATGAAAAGAGCTTGTTGTTTAAAAGGATGATATAAGTCGTGTGCAACTGAAAATGATTAGAACTTGTGTTCGTTGAAATCAAGCTGTCGAAGAGATGGGGTTGGTTACAGTGATTGCTAGAAAAGTTGAATGCACAAAAGGAAGCTATGGAACAAGATATTATGATGAACGTTGTTACATGACTTCAACGTCTCAACCCCGATTTGAAGACTTGATCTGACATGCTAATATTCAGTGCTCTTGCACCTGGTGAAGCTTCTTCTACACAATAAGCTGCTATTCAACAAATCAATCGTCCATCCGCTGGCAGTAACAATCAAGGTTAGTCCGTATCAAAGGTTACACACTTCTCTTTCCTCTTCTCCTATTTTTTATGTTGCTTCTCTACCATTGTGCGCTCTCTCGGTCTCTCTCTTTTCGGCAATGTTTTACTAGTTTTAAAGGATATTTATAATGGAGAATAGGTTGTTTGTGAAGTCATTTTAAGGGAGTTTTGGATGGGTTTTGGAGTTGTTTCGGGGTTGATTGGAGATGGGTTTCACGTTGGTTTTCGGTTTTGAGGAATTGCCCTTATTTAATTGTCAAGGTTTGAGATTCTGGATTTTGCTAGATATGGTCTAAAAGTAGGAGTAATAGAAAACAAACATGGATGCTTAGTTTCTTTGGTGTGTGTGGGGTGGGTGGAGGTGTTTGTTTCGTGGGAGATTTAGGATTTAGCCCAAGCACCTCACTCGGGTAAGCATTTTAAGTAGCCAGACCATAAATCTGATAGTATCTTCTATTTCTGAGGCTAATCTGCAAACACCAAGTAGTTCACAATCAAGTCTTAATTAAAGACACTTTAGGATTGAGTGGCATTTTCATGTTCTTCACTAAAATTACATAATGATTACATCTCAACTTTTTTCAAACCGTATTCACGTTGCCATAGTTCTCTGCAATGGATGGAATAGCTAAAGGGGAATGTGACGTTTATCATAAGTAATGAGAAAAAATAATTTTTATCTGAGCACATCTCTCGATTGGCTTGGTACACTATATCATTACCTTCCCTATTGTTTCCCTCTCTCGCTTTCTTTTAGAGAGTATATATTATATTGTGTGCATGCTTCTAATGTTCAGAGAACTTTGAATTTTGATTGAACTGGGATTTAAAGCCCTGCATAAACACTAATATAAATAGTTCTACTCTTCTTAGTCATTTATCACCATGTTTCCAAACTAGGATGTCACTTACAACAAACATTCGTCAAGTAAGGAATATGTAACTAGCGGGTTTAATCAGAGGATAAGCATAAGGAAATCTCCTATAGAGATATTCTTCGCTTAGTCTGCTTATAGTCTACTTGTTCTTTCTAATACTTTTCTCAAGGATAATGATTTTATTTATACTCTTTTGTAGGTAGAGTAGATGAAGAAATGGAAGACAGAGGCAGTGATGAAGATCTAGACCTATTTAAGAGAATTTTGAATTGTTGATTGTTGTAGATGCATGTGGCGGTTTCTAGGAATGTTTGTTATCAAAACATTTTAAAATTTTTAACTCTTGAAATATCAAATGTATGTACTTGGTAACAATTATCTATGGATTTATTATTATAGCTTGTTGGATAATTTGGATTAAAAATAGTTTCTTTTTATTTTTTATATGAATTTTAGTGTTCTATAGATTATTGTATATATATGTAAATCTTTATTCACAACAAGGGGCAATATTTTCAATTCAATTAAACTGTTACAACAGCTAACAGAACCGTTGCCATAGGACATGCAAACGTTTCAAAATAATCTAAAAACCGTTGCAGTAGGTAGCTCAACTATGGCAATATCTTAAAGAAATCGTTGCCATTTCTATAATAGTTGTAACAGTTTAATAGATATAGTTACGATTAATGACTGTTGTATTTAATGTTATGATAACGGAAATCAACCGTTGCAGTAGATAAGAATAATCGTTCCAGTAAGACGAGGGAAACTGTTGCGATAGACTATACTATAGCAACGGTTATCTGAACCGTTCCAAAAACCGTTCCATAAGCTCTATAGGCACGCCAGATTGTGGAACGGTTGCTGAAGCGTTGCAATACATCTATGGCAACAGTTTAACTATCTGTTGCAACGGTTTTCCATGTGTAGCCATAGGTGAATTTTCTAGTAGTGATAGTCTCTCAAAAATAAGTACAGATGTCTCCGTACCGATATGCAAGATTCTGCTAAACTTGCTTATGACACATAGTACCTATGAACCTAGAGCTCTGATACCAACTTATCACGATCCCAAATTTCCACCTTAAAATGTTGTGATGGAATCTAGTCCCTAAGACTGGGTAAGTCTAACTCATGCTAAGTTATTAACAGATTTAAATCATTTAACCATTAAACAAGAATCATTAATTGCCATACATAACAACCATCTATAGATTTACAATATTCCCAAAACCGATAGTACGAAGTCATAAGCCTTTCTAAGAGTAACTATGAATATCAAATACATCACAATGTAATAATGGAATAGAACTAAACAATAACAATTTAAAGCTCTGAAAGGTGACTCCGAGGCTTGCGAGCGTAGTGACAGATATACCTTGAAGTCTCCATAACAAATCTCCAACATCTAGCTAACGACCGTCACGCTTAGAGGTACCTAAATCTGCACAAAAATGTGCAGAAGTGTAACATGAGTACACCACAGCGATGCCTAGTAAATATCAAGACTAACCTCGGTCAAGTAGTGATGAGGTACAGTTAAAACTCCTACTAGACATATTGACCTGTTCAAGTACTAGTATAAACTAACAGAGGAACGAATATCAATATAAAGCTAAACATGGAAAGAATAACAATATAACACTAGCAAATGAAAAGTAGAAGCAACAAATAGTAACAAGGAGTAACAGGTGATAACTTCTGCAAAGTAATCAGAATATAGTTAAAGTACTAATGAAATCAATTAAGGATGACCAATGACAACCAAATAATCAACCGTTCTTACACAAGGTTTACATAAGAATCACCCCGAGGTACCACACCTTAAAATCACAAATTACAGGTTCCAAATCACGAATCATAATCACATGGCATCTCGTGCCTACATTACCAATCACAACCGCATGGACAACTCACGTGCTACACGGATCACTTACGTGCCATTACTATTAATACCTTTGATCTCCACGGACAACTTACGTACCAATAGTAATAATACCTCATATCCGCATAGAAAACTCATGTGCCAACAGTCCAAGCCATGTACAGAAGGCAGGTATACAAGAATACAGGTACATGATTAATAAACATCAAGATTATACTCTTGGACTGATATAGGTGACATGTTACAATGTATGCTTGTGCAAGTATACTATCACAACTCAAGTCAACAGGTAAAATCAGGGACAACGAGTAGTACATTGGAAATAACACAACAAAATATGAAATATGCATGACACCACAAGAAAGTCACACTACTACACAAATATCAATAATAACAATGCCCCCAGGCCATCACAAATCATTCCTGACATAGTCCACCTTGTCTCACCCCGTGCGTAACATATAAAGAAAATGTCTGCCTTATCTGGCGACACGTGCATCAATAATATCCCACCTTATCTCGCCACATGCGCAAACCCAACATATATATAGTTAGCCTTGTCTCGCCGCATATGAAAATATCAATAATAGCAACAACACGAACAACTCACATGCAAAACACCTCGACAATCCTCTCAATAATCCCACATGTGCCAAAAATATAACAATACAATATAATAACTCGCACCACATGAGCCCATATGCCACAATATTTCCATAACAATAATTCCAAACCGCAACCACACATAGCCCACGGCTCAACAACACTGAGTATAACAACAATAATAATATGGGAGTACGACAAGTAAATCAATACAAAAATTACAACAACACAATAAAACAGAGGAATAAGCTTAACAATGAACGAGATAACAAGTAATAATGACTTCAAATAAGAATAACTCAACAATGAGAGGAATAACATGCAACATCAACTTCAAATAAGAATAACTCAACAATGAGAGGAATAACATGCAACATCAACTTCAAATAAGAATAAATCAACAATGAAAGAAATAATATGTAACAACGACTTCATATAAGAATAAACTAACAATGAAAGAGATAACATGTCCATAAAAGAGGAAACAACCTCAATTTAAGCATATAAGAGTATATTTGGTAATAAGAGATAGAACATGTACTAGTAACTTTAAATACAGCATGTAAGAGCAAATTTAACAATGAAGGATATAACATGATACAACTTCAATTTAATATACATAAGAAACCTAAGAGTCTAATCTGGTCAAATCTTCACATATAAGGGGGTGTACACACTCGTCACTTCGTATACACGTCTTTCACATAATTCAAATAGTGCAATCAAACCAATCCCTACGGAGTAGTTCTCTCACGCAAAGTTAGGCATGATACTTATCTTAACTAGGCCAAATCAATACTTAACAATAGTTTTTCCTTTACAAATTGCCTTCGCTCGGCTCAAATATAACCAAAATTAACTTAATAACATCAAACAATGCAAGAAAAATCAATTACGATAGATAAAGCTATGATCTTTGCACAATTCCTCAGAAGTCAACCCCAGGCCCGTCCGATTAAAACCCGAGTCCAAGGGTTGATCTTGACTACCCATAACGCCACGAGTCTCTCTCTCCCCCCCCCCC